TGTGTTTTGCGGTTATGATGACCTGGTCGCAAGCCGAGATCCAAATTAGACGTTTTAGCAAAGGCATTAAGGCGGGTGAATGAGAACAGCCTTTATTAATGCAGTGCACAGTAGCCTCGTTGTTGCAATGAATAACGATGCTGGTGGTGGACCACTCTTTTCCCCAAAGAAAGGCTGCCACAACTATAGGATATAGCTCAAAGTGCTGAGGATATTAGCGGCTGAGGTAAATCTAACAGCTGGGAAGGCCACGTAGAAGGGAACCAGCGGTTTTGGTAAAATCCACCGAAACCGACGGAGGGGGCGGCGTCGGTAAATAATTGGATGTCAACGGGAGAAGAGACCAAATCGCTGTAAAAAAAGATAAGCCGATCCATTGTTTAAGGAAGGAAATCCACAGACTGAGCTCGTCTCGGCATGAATTGGTTATAGATATTTGATCGTCTAGCTCGTGAATGGAGGACGCAAGAGAGAGGAGGTGAGAGATGAAGGGGCGGCCTTGCGGAATGATTCGCATTGCGAAATTTAGATGACCGAGCACGGATAGCAGCTCGCATTTGGAGCAGTTTGGGTTGGCTAAAAGAGTGGAAGCCACCAGAATCGTTCTGTCTATTTTTTCCTTGGGTAGAGAAGCTTGGAATTTTTGTGAATCTAGGTTGATTCCCAAAAATTCGATGGAAGTGCTTGGGCCTGAAGTTTTGTCTTGGGCGAGGGGGATCCCGAGCTCTGTGAAAACCTTTTGCGTTGTCGAAAGGTGCGCTGCTGGGATGGAGTCGGGGGGTGATATAATTAAGTCGTCTAAGAGATGGATTAAGTAGGGTACGGCGTAATTGTTGGAGAGGATCCAGCAAATTGCTGCTGATAACATGTCGAAAATTTTTGGGCTGCTTCTGCAGCCGAATGTGAGGCGGACGGAAAGTAGAATTTTTTGTGCCAGCAGATGCCGAATAGGTACCAAAAGTCAGGGTGGATGGGCATCACTTTAAAGGCAGATGTGATGTCAACTTTGGCCATCTAAGCGCCGCAACCTGCGTCTTTGATCATGGTAATGGCTTGGTCGATGTCATGGTAATGAAGAGAAAATTCTTCAAGCGGGATGAGGCAGTTAATGCTCGGGAGCGGGGAATTATGCGGGGAAGAGAGGTTGATTATAAGGCGTTTTTTACCAGAAAATTTTCTGGTAGCTATGCCTATGGGACTAACATGGAAAATGTTAAAAGGGGGGGCTTTCGTCGGTTTCTTTCTTAATTAAAAGATCGACCGTTTCGGGTTCGGCGAGAGCAGACTGAAGATTGGGGCAGATGAGGCTTTGGGAGGGGAGAACTTCGACACCGGGATGAAAACCGTGTGAGAGGCCTGACAGTAGATAGTTAGAGAAATCAGAGTCAGGGTGATGAATCAATTCAGAAGATAAACGAGAGACATTTACAGGAGTCGATAAGTATTGTTTAGCATTTTTATTGGCAGCTTTGTTGACAGGGCAAATCAAGCGGGCGTGAGCGCCGCCACAAAAATTGCAAATGTGCATGAATCGACAGCGTTGTCTTGAGCATCTGCCGGCATTGAAGCTGGTGCAGAGCTGTCTGCTGGAGGAGGATGGGGGGCGGCGGTTAGTGGAAGAGGGGAGGGAGGGGTTGGTTGGGAAGTGCGGCACGTAGCTGGTGGATTTGGGCTGAGATGGTTCGGGGATGGGAGGAATGGATGGGTTGACAAAGGGGCACGTTGTGGTGGAGTGAGCGATGGATCGGCATACCACGCATGTGATGTTGTGGCAGCCTAAAAATACCCTGTTGTGAAGTTCAGTGTCCAAGGCCCCCCAGTAAGGACACTGGTTCCATTGGGCCACTCGAATAGCACATTTTGCTGAGAGTAACTTGTGGTATGTGTAGAAATGGGAGCCCCTGTATGATAGCGCGAGATTGGCGACAATAGTAAGGTAGTCGCCGAGCT